TATATATGAGTAGATTAACTAAACACTACCCCGTGGGTATGTAGATTCCACTAATCACTACCCCGACGATTACGGCAGTACATTTTCTTGACGATCACTTAGCAGATATATCCTCAAACCCTACCATATTTTTTAGGGGTAGTGAAATTTTAGGGTAGTAATAGTGGATTTTGAGGGGCGGGTTGAATAAGCTTATGATAGAGTTCATATACAAGTTTTTCACATGCGAATTAATTTCCTTCTTTATTCTGTAGTCCTAACGTACATTGTAAATACTTTCCGGCAAAGAGTACGCACTGATGAGAGAGGTCACTTTGTGATTTGCCAAGTATTTGCGGAGTTCTGACGACATATTTTGCATAATAGTGGATTTCCTTTGCGCTTGTATTCACGTCGATTCCTGGCACGTCGACTCTTTTTACGCCCTCGATGACCAGGATCGTTTAGAGGATATACCTGACATAATTTGCTCTCGATATCGAGTTCATTTGGAATTTGAAGAGTCACCGAATACTGCTTCACGTATGTCTTGACATGAAATACAGGGCTGTACCTGAATATTTAAAACAATGGTGGAAACATAGTAAATATAGTGGAATTTCTTTCAAACTTAAAATAGGTGAAACCAGTAAAATCAAGTGACTTACCATTTCTCATCTTGTAGGTTGTACTTTTCTTTGAATTTATCATACCCCCGGGAGTTGTCCAATGCTAATGTCATCAGAGTTCTGCCTCCGTGTACACATAGCATTCCCAACGCTTCTCGACGCAAGCATGCGCAAACCGATACACCTAGAGTGTGTGAAATAAAACGTTCATTAATGTCAATTCTGCCTACAGTAGTGGCTGGCTATTAACATGCTTGACAACGCAAAACAAAACAAAATCATTAGATCTACCATTAGATTTTAATGTTACTGAATACCGATCACGTACGGGTTCGTCTCTCAAGTCTTGAACAGTTGCCATGACACAGTCCTTGGAAACTGTAGTATTTCCATGTAGAATAGTCGTCAGTGATAATTTGAGAGTTTGGAACAGAGTTTGGTAATGAGATAACTATCTCATTAAGAGATGACACATACCTTTAGTCAGCAGTACTTTGATCTTTGACTCGGTCAACTTCCGTATGTATTGTATGTGTTGTAGTGCGGGTTCGGTCAGTGTATGACCGAGTGTGTATAGGCTTAAAGACTCAACTTGTCGACGACAGAACTTATCAGCAACGTACGCCAAGAATCCTCGGTTGAAACTCACCTAGCAATGAGTAAGCGTTAATCGATGCGAAGTATGAACTATACATGTCTCATAAATGCATCCGTTCAAGCGCAGAAATGTATCACAAACATATCAATTCAAGCACAGAAATGTATCACAAACATACCGGTCCCAAGCTACGTAACAGGTCGAGTACGACGTTTGTCTGTCTACTGAATTGGAAGTCACATCGCCAAACCTGCAAATATTGATTTCTAGTACGTGTACGAATTGATAAGAAAATATAACCTAATGCGATCAATATCCACAGTATAAAAGAATTTAACACACCCACTGCTGCTGCGATAGTGTCAAACTCACCAGGGTCCGCAGTGGTGTGTGCGGATATAGTGCATTCCTTTCTATGCTTCAGCAGGATCCGGCGACTTCTTTGTGCCCTCAATTCTGTATTTCTTTAATATAGTGCTGAAGTGTGTGCCAGCAAATACAATTTATAAATTGTTCTCAGCTTATCAGGGGTTTGCGCATATCGATAATTCACAAATAACTACACTACAGAAATACAGATAAAAGTATACCTTGAATTCCTCATCAACTGACGTGGCTGCCGACTGGTACATATCATCCAGAGTTTCGTTATTATACTGGAAACCCTTTTTCGATGCTAGTGTCGTTACATTGTCACGAAAGGGTTTCTCGCACCTAGCCCATAAATTATAGCAAGTAGCCAATTTACCTTTTTGATATTAGTATTTAACGTGGAGATAAAAGAGAATAAAGAAGCCTATCAATAGAGACAAATTGAGATTAGCATTCGATCCTACACATGGCTATCGGGAACTGATGACTATCTTTTGTTTTTATCAGACCTTTATCTCTGTCTGCGATAGCAATCTTTCAATCCGGGAAATCTACCTTTAATCTCTTACAGAAGCTGTCCCACCCGATGTGATTTTCTGTCGGTAGTTGACTTTATGCGCGTGGAACATTTTGATTATTTGCATCCTTGCAAGTCATCACAGCGATAACACCTTCAATGGTGATTGGTGAATTTTTTTTGACATACACAAACATGATACCAGACCGGATTTAAAAAAAAATAGCTAGAAAATGAAGAATATTCAAGACAGCAGCGAGGCTTACCTCGAAGATCGTTTTTCAGAAAAGTACAGTCCAGCACGCTCACATGTCTAGAATATCGCCAGAAATGCTTGCACGCAGATGGCGCGAAGTAAGAGCTATTAAACATCGCTGCATCTTTCTGTTGGACATAATCACATTTAACTAAAGAGAGAATGTATGTTTCATTTCTATCTGCTTCACAGCATTTTTAAACGGACTCTGGGAACCGCGGATATTTTGACATGATTGTCGACAAAGAGTCCATGCGACCTGCACATATGAAATAACAAATTGAGTGTAAGGTTGTAGATATATAAAAGGCAATCGGTAACTAATAATTGTCAACCACGGTAACGATGCCAACATCAATAAAATAATAGTTCATTTGAAACCTACCGGAAAGTAAGAAGTTCTGCATTTGACCCCTTTTAATGTCATTCGGATCATCGAGCTTTGTTTTGAGGTCAGCGGCGCTGTAGTTGAGAGAAGGAAGAATATAACAGGTATTATCAATATGAGGTAGATGGTATCTAAACGAGCAAGTGTGATAAAATTGCAGCGGGGGTAATATAACTCTCCTCTGCTGAACTGACCAGATTTGAATTCTTTGAGTGTTTTGCCAAGACGAGAGGACTTTATATGTCTGAGTTGTACATTTCTGTTCCTTGAGGCTGGCTTTCTATCGCAATCTTTTGAATGATCTTTACTTGCAGTACATTTCCACTCTCCACTATAGTCCCCTCTCACGTACACGGGCACACCGTTGCGTTAATAATCACAGCCGGGTGTAGCGCACATTTATCGTCTCCGCGGTTTTTTCTTTCCGCCATTTTCACGGAGTCTGTATAGTATATTAGCACAGTATTGTGAGAAGAGAATATATCCTACTGATAGTAGAGTATTAAATAGTTTGCGAGGGACCGACGATAAACTAACTCAAACCGCTCAAGAATGTGCACGCCACTATCATCAAAACTATCACTTGAAACTTACAATACAGCTTTCCGCATTCGCTGGGCGTGGGCATATACCGCATTTATGAAAGCATCTTCATCCTTGAACGTCTCGTTGCTCTTCACTGTTCCTAGGTAAAAGAGCGTAAGATTCGTGCTCCAACCCATCACGATCCGAGATATCCACACAACACCCATCGCGAAGAATTCTAGAAGAAAATGTGAGGCAAAATATAATTCAACCCCTACTAGTCAATTTCATCTAGGTCATACGCATTCTTTCAAATAATCAGAACACAAGTAAAAAAAATAAAAAATCGACATACATACTTAACAACCGAATGAATGAATTAACATACCTTTCATGTTCTTCCCTGAATTGTCTGCTCGTGCTATGCTTTCTCTGAGACTTCCAGGATTTACAGGCGAAATCAAATTCTGTAGAAGCTGAATGCTATTGGAGTCGGCCATGTCATCTTGGAGAAAACCCTCTAAAAAAAGTTGATCTTTCATCTCTTGTCATAGAAGGGATAACACGTGATAGCACCTCCACCCTTTCTCTTTTAGAGCTGATTTGGAACCTGTGGGTAAGTTTATCCACGAGTTCTTTACTCGGGAGGTCATCCTGCCACCCTGAAGTTTCATTGAGCTCAGACCAACTCGTGCTTCTCCATATGTTCTGATCATTGTCGTATTCATACAGTTTCTCTATTGAGATACTACCATCAGTCAGAAACATATCTGTCTCAGATTCTGATCCTGTCGTAGATCTTGCTTCTGAATCGGCGCTCAAACTAATGTAGTCATCGACGGTCTCTCTTGTAGATTCGAAATCCTGGTTCTGGTCCACAACACTGGATTTGCTCTTGTCGTCCTCCAAGATGTAAGTTTCAGTCTATCAAGGCGATATTAACGCCTTAGAGTAATTAAACGCTTAGGTTAAGTCTAAGTATAATTAAATTCAATGTAAATAAACGAAATGAGTCTTTTAGTAAAGTTAGGTATGCCTCGTGAAAACAGCAATACTCTGAGGGATTGTGAGGCTGGGACATTGTCTATATATAATCCTCTCAGTACTGTTTTCGCCGAAGGGATTTTATTTAGTGTTTCGTTGTCGCTCTAATAGAAACTATGGTATGTTTCGTTGGGGCAAATCCGAGAGACTCATAAAATCCTATCTTTAGAAAAAAGAAATGAAAAATACTCTTGATGTCCATAGTTATTGCATTAACCAATAACTTGCCACTTATCAAGAATTACCGACTTAGCCTTCATCAGACTGGCACATCTGGTTGGCTGAACGGAGGATAAACTAAGCAACGCTAAGAGTCGTTAGAAACCTATGTTCGGTTGAGCCATCTCGCTACTGAAGTATTCAGATTTAAATAGATTTGGAAGGTTAATATAATTCTATTAATAGAACTAGACCAAATTTTTTATTTGGTATTTTACTGGGGCCTTTTAATGGCCCTGTCCAAATATCTGATATGTAAAATGGAAAAGGTATTTAATTAATAAAAACCGTTAAACCCCATTTAAGAGTTTACGTACTTTTAAGAGTACGTTTTACGTACTATTAAGAGTACGTTTATATTACAAGATTCAAATGTGGAGGCCCGACTTTTACACAGTCACCACCCAGCTTTGAGACCCAGGAAAAGCAAGTTGCTCACTCAAGCTGATCATGGGTCAAAAAAGCGAGAAAGGAAAACGGGTCGAAAACATTAAGTAGCATAACGTATAGTTAATGTTCCTCAGGCGGAGAAGTTAAGCATTCTTGGCTACCCTGTGAGTTTTGGGTTTAGGTCCAGTAAGTCCGTGGTGGTCGACTGGACGTTTCTTACGCCTCAATGTTTTTGGAACATACGAAGGATGAGCAGTAAAACTCGAGATAAACGCTGTTGGCGGGTAAGTTTTAACCTCCGTGCCTTCAAAATGCTATCTTTTTCAGCCTGTGACTTATGTAGGCGTTTACGCCATTTTCTGTCAAAGGCCTTTAAATAGTCCTGATTGTCAAAAGCGTCTAAAGTTAACTTAGCGATTGTATCGTCTATAAAGCGTGTACGATAGTATGTATATCCTCTTTAATCTGTTCTCCATATAATATCTTTGAATTCGGAGCGGTCAAGAGGTACAGTAGAATCATGTCTTCTTGCGAGAATAATCTCAGTAGTCGGAATCCGACTAGTGCCTATATTTAAAGCACTAGAACCGTCGGGGTTATTAACCTCATACTCCACTTTTAGTGTCGGCTACAGAGATTATGTATGGTCCTATCCATTTTGAAGTTAGTACAGTAGCATCGGAATTACGTTGACGGATGTTAACTCTGTCTCCAACCTGATACTTGCTATCTTTTGGTAGCATTCCATCTATTTTGCTTTTTTAATATGGCCACATTGCGTGTCTCTCGCAAGCAAGGATATACAACGTTGTGTATACGTTATACCTTCTCTAACCATGGTAACTCATGGTGATCAGGTTCGTCCTTGTTAAAGGGTATTTGTAGCTCACTATATCTGCCACGAAAATAGTGAGCGGGTTTTGTTCCTGTAACCGGATCAGCACACTCGTTCATCTGCATCATCCGTTAATGCAGTATGTGTAAGAAGAATTTAAGTCTTCTGTGACGCGTTTCATTCGCGCCTTGTGTTTGCGGTTTATATGGTACACCCCTTTTATGGCACATGCCTGATACGAGTACTAACGATTCCATTATGTCATCGCAGAACTCGCTACCATTATCAGTGCACATGATACCTGGCCACCCGTGGTCAGCAAAGACTTGGCAATACAATTCTGCCACGGTCTGCGTACTCTTGTCCTTTAAAGGATAGAGCAAGCTATACTGTGACGCCACATCAAAGAAGTGGCATACGTAACGGTCGCCTGTGTGCTCGGACATAGGCAGGTCAACCAGATCAATGATGACCCTGCGCCATGGAACATCTTCAGTCACACTCTTAAGCGGTGCGAACCCATAGCGCTTAATCTGGTTGAGATCACGGTCTGTACATGACTGATATACTCTGTCAACTAAAGTTGCCAGCTTAGGGTGCGCGATCCCATTTCGCTTAGCATCTTTAAGTGCGTCTACTACGTTCTGGTGCTTCAGGTTATGGTTTTGCGTCAGCCAAGCAAGAATGTTTTTATCATTCTGTTCCTCCAGAATAAAGGTAGGGTGTTGAGAATCCACTTGCGTGGTCTCTAAGTCTGTAGTGTTTCCAGACCCCTGTCCTTCTTTCGCATGAGTGTCATGAGTGCGCTCGTGCGCGTTTGATACACCTGACTTATTTAATAGTCGTATTATATGTGTATATACTTCGGGATTATCTTTCATTAATCCCTTTAAAAATAGGGTTTGAAAGAATTCGGGCTTGGACTTTATGTTATTAAACAGAGTACTAGCCAGAGACTGACGCTTCTTAACAGTAGCGTCGTTAGTAGATTGTATTTCTTGTGCACAGACTTCAAGTGCTGTGTTGCCTTTGAACTGCTTAACGTTCAATTGGGTAGAGAGTGGAATCTCTGATTCTTTGG